GTTGCTAAAGCATCACCCCCCCAGCCCCACTACTTGCAGGATCTCCCTAACAAAAACATGTCTCGACAAACGTCCATCCACAGCACTCCCCACACACACACCTTGCGTGTAAGTTTGGGGGTTTTTTATAGCTTTCCCCACCACGCCGTATAAGAATGTTTAACCCTTTCTGCAACAAAACAGGTGTTAAGATGTTAAAACGCCAAACAGAAACCTTTTGCAAGGAACCGTGTCTGCATTAACCACACATACTTGTGGTGAACATGCAAACAAACAAACACGCTCTGGTAATATATGCATTGTCTTTTAAACTGATTGGTCCACACCAGAGACAGCTTTTTTTAGAGCCTAGGTCTCAAACAGTGTTCGACCAGAGGATGCCAAAAGGCGAACAGCACAAAGACAATGCCACTATCAGAGTAATGAGAGCTCGGGATGAGCAGCTACATCATGGGACCTCCCTTGCCAGTATAAAAAATATAGGAATATGTTTTACCCTTTCTGGCAATAAAACAGTTGTAATAAGGGATGTCCCACGATTCACCACGCCGGTCAGTGCAGGGGGTGCAGGCGGCGAGCACAGATGTGGGGGGCGTACAAGTACAGTACAACGGACTCTTCTGCGCTGCCCTCTGCTGCCCACATAGTCGCCACCTCAGCCCGATGGCATCTTTGTTGTGAATGGTGGTCACCCACAGAGGCACTATCCAGTCGCAACCCCGCTCAACTCCTCTGCTTACGATGGTATCCGGGGCAGCATTCCGGGTAACTCGGTGAAAGGCCCGGATAAAATGCTGCCATTATAATGGTTGTATTTCTTGTCCAGTGCCTTTCTACCACCACCGTGCCCCTCTAGCCGAGCATCGCCACCGGGCCCGAACCAAAGACAACAACCCGCCGTCAGTGACAGGCACCAGCGGGACTCCTCCGATGAAAGTGCTTTTTAATGGACTCAGCAGATGAAGACAGAGACTCATTTGTATTCGTGCTGCCGAGTCGGTTGGATAGCCGGAAGAATCAACGGCGCTTGATGCCGAAAGCACGATACCTTGGCCAAAACACGGCCAAAGCTGCTTGCTGCGTGTGCCGTTTTTTCTCCAAAGCATCGACATATACGCTTGCGCCCGCGACTTGCTTCTCCGCAGGGATTTTTTCTCCACCGTAACTCAAAGCGTGCAGCAGAGTGACCGTCCGTGCAAAAGGCATCCGTTTTCATGAACGGTCCGACATTATGAAAACGAAGTTTCCTCTGACCGACCACATCGGTGGCACACTCACGTCCGAATGCAATCACTCGCCGACTCTGTTCAACTGTTTACATACAAATAAACAAAGTGTGAATAAGTGAAACCTGAGCTTTACAAATCAAACGAGTGAACACAATTGAGCCTACGCAAAGGGGAACACTTGTATATCCTTTCACTGCCCTGCCAAGGGTTTCCATCAGTGCCTATCGGCAGGAACCGGGGTCATGTACAACCATGCCCCTGTTCATAAACACGCTCCAGACCTTCCTCTTCGCTTCTGCCTCTAACCATCTCTTGTCCAGAACATACAGGATATACATCCTGTTGAAGAAAGCTATGAGCACACCCCTCATATCCTAAGTGTGCTTATATCCGATGTGTGCTTGTATCAGAAGTTTCACACTTACACCCACCAGTGCAACGGGCAAAGACGTCTTGCTTATAGGAGACCTGTGCATATTTATAAGGTCATGCTTGTGTCCATCTTATATAATCGTCACACTGTTTTTGTACGGCAGCTTGGGATAGACGCTAAGTAAATCGAAGCTCCGTTTGTAGTGTCGGGATTTCATCTTCTGGTGCCATCTCCGGCTCACGATTCCGCGGTCACATTCCACCGTCGCTGTCCACCCCTTGCCAGCAGCGCCTCGATGTTCACCCGGCATTCTTCCAGTTGCTATCCCAGTGTATGCACGGAGGGTGCAGGGGGACGTGCCCAAAAGAGAGTGTACTCCATCCGATCGCTGGGAGTCATTGGATTTCAAAAGCGCCACCTGGCAAATGGCGACAGCCGGGGCAAGTCAGATGGCACCAGGTCACAGTGAGGGGGTGGGCTGAGATGAGTGACGGGAAGGAATTAAGAGAATAACTTCCCCGAAGTAGTCTGGCGAATCGCGGCAACAGGACCGTGACAGCGGAGGACTTTGTTCGGCCCAAGCTGACGGAGGGGTAATGTATTGATAGTTTGCTGAATCGGTCTCTCAATTGAGTCGATGCAATTAATTTTGGAGTGACGATTCAATAAAAAATTATCTAAAGTTTGTATTTATTTAGGATTTTTATATCTATTTTGCCAAATGTTGCTTGTTCCATTGACCTAAATGCCCCATTTGTATATTTATAGCCAAAGTCAAAGTGATTTGCCGTTCAACGAGCAGCATTGAGGCGGTCCTCATCTATTGTTCAAAGCCCTGAGTCGGTGGTGGAAATTCCACATTCCTACAGCGGGGGCGAGTCTATCCATAGGAGAACCATGGTTGACTTCCCCACAAAGTGGAATTCATTGTATCGACCCCCAGAGCAATTATAGGCCGAGTAAACCCTCAACCAGGATTTGAACTCACAACCTTCTGAGTGCAAGCTAGGTACTCAAGGCACTGTATACATCACGAAGAAATGGGAAGAAAAACTAAGGAGACAAATAGAAGCTAATTTATAGAACTGAAAGAAAGAGAAAATATTTCCACTTCAGGGTTATAAACACCACTGGGGGCAAGGCATTGTAGAGCCACCCAGAAACAGCACAACAGGAGCACCCATTGTGTGGAGCCAAATCCGGGGAAAGCACAGGGCACCAGCTTCTTGGTTCTTTCGGTAAAGTCACGTAGAATGGAAATAATAAAATAAAACATTATAAGATAATTCTCACGACGTTTCGGCCACAACGCAAGCAGCCGTCCTCAGGTGAAGACCAGGTCTGTCGGGGAGACAGCGTCTGAATGAATGACGCTGTCTCCCCGACAGGCCTGGTCTTCACCTGAGGACGGCTGCTTGCGTTGTGGACGAAACGTCGCGAGAATTATCTTATTATGTTTTATTTTATTATTTTATTATTTCCATTCTACGTGACTTTACCGAAAGAACCAAGAAGATGAATCCCTGCAGTCACGAAAGCTTTAAATGGAAATTTTAGGGCACCGGCTATCGAAGCGCGAAGTCTGCGGGATTGGCCACGCATATGGGGCCAGCAAATATGCGAGCTAACTTGGTTGTCCGCTTTTGAGAGCCTTACAAAGTCAAGAGGAGAATCATTAACTTCACTCTGAACTTCATAGCAAGCCAGCGAAGATCGGCTAGGACCGGACTAATGTGTGTTCAAACGTCGGGACTCTTGAAAAGATTCCGGCACCCGAGTTTTGGACGAATTTCAATTTATCCAGGACTTGGGCAGAGGCACCAAACATAACTCATTGCAATAACTGAGCCTTGCAAACACAAAGGATTGCGTCAGCCTTTTCGCATGAGAAGTGGACAAAACAAGGTCTCAGACGAGCGATCTTTCTAAGATGAAAAAAGCTGCGATGGTGATGGTTTTTTTAACGAGCCTTAAATTATAGGGCCGAGTGGAAAATAACACGGAGATTTTAACAACCGGAAGTGCGAAAACAAAATTGTAGATGCTGAGAATCCACTTTCAGCAGTATCTCTATTTTCGCAACTGCTTAACTGCAGAAAATCAGACTGAAACCAAATCTTGAATAGCGGTCAGCATGACATCAAAGACGAAAGGGCCAGGGCAATATCCAACTTTGATACATTTTAAAGTGTCATCTCTAAAGCAATGGTATTTACTACTATACCGCTGAACGATCTGACCGAGTGGTGGCACGTAGATTCCAAACAAGGCCGGACCACGCTCCATGCCCTGAGGGACACCAACAGTGACATGGCCAGTATCAGAAAAAGGATGGGCCTAGGGCCACAAAATGTCTCTGGCCTGTCGAATACGACCGAAGCCACAGACGTGCCATGCCGGTCACCCCAACAGTTGCCTCAAGGCCATGGCAAAAGGACACCACGATGCGCCAGAGTCAGCAGCCATGAGAAAATCATTTGCGACCTTGACCAGGGCAGTCTCCGTACAATGCGCAACCCGGAAACCCGATGGAAGGGGCTCTAAAAGCCCATTTAATGTCCAGTGGTCTTGCAAGTGTGTTGCAACCTGCACACTCCTGAATCTTGAAACAGAAAGAGAAGATTCGAGATTGGTCGAAAGTTTGTTAAATACGCTGGGGAACTAGGTTTGGTTGTGTTGTAGCTTGCGCAGGAAGGGCCGTGGGATTTGGATCGAACAAACAAGTGATTGGCTTCGAGCTAGCAATTTCCGTCGATGAGACACCTGAAAAATGAGCCAATGGGCAACCCATAAAAGTTCCTGGAGACTCGGCCAGACCAGATTCAAACAATGTGGAGGAATCATTGGATCGGATATTTTCAACCTTCGATGAAACGGAGGAAGGCCTTGCAGAGCTCAATAGTCGGTGATAGGGGGGCGACTGCACGGCAGGTTTAAGAAGGCGCTCGACAATTAAAAAAAAGACAACGTGTGGCTACGCTTCTTAATCTGAATAAGCGAGGACTGCAAATAAAATTTGGCACTATGCAGAGCAAACCGATCATTCGGAAGGTGGAGCTTGCAAGCCTTGTCATGAACTGTACGAGCAGTGGACCTCCATTTCTACTGGAGACAGAGCACGACGGCCTTCAGAGGCCCAACATGCTCAATGGTGGTGCAATGTCTTGCAGGATAAACGTGACGAGACGACACGCGGCACAACTTGAGAACACACCGCGGGAGCCGAGCGGTAATCATTGCGTTCAGCACAACCACCGTGGTCTCAAGCACCGGGCAGAAACTACACCAGGCACCTTAGCGCATCCCGCTTGTCTTTACAGCGTATATCTCGCGCGACAAGGCAAGGCTCGCCGCAGGCAAGGGAATGCCAAATGGGGTTGCGGCTCGCTGGAACTCACCCAAGCTGCCTTGGCAGATGTCCGTGCGCGTCGCTCCTCCCACAATGAATTGCGGGTTTGAGCATATCTCCTGTTAGTGAGGGAAGCGGTGAAGGGGGCAGCACAGCAGGTAAGAGAAAAAAAAGAGGAGGGGGGTGGTCAGATTATACACACACCCACACGTGCAAAAGCATGCAAGGCAAAGAGAGAGAACCCCCGTATAGCCTGAACAGACTTTTAGGGCAAGTGCTGTTAGCCATTAGCACCGATGTAGGCCGGTACGGCACATGAGGAGGTGGGAGGCCAGCACCACGACCCGGCCGCCTTTGTCTCCCCAGTGGAGATGTTTACACGCCACTCTGTGTACTCATTTGAGGCGGAGTCGACACAGGGGAGGTCCAGGACCTGTTCAGATCATCGTCACTGGTGTTGGCCGTGAGTGGGGATTGAACTCCGGTTGCTAACCGCTGCACTATGGCTGCCGACAAAAGCATGCAAACACACACAAGGTAAAGGCATGTTTCAATTCTAGTCATGAATGCATGTAAAACACACGTGCACATTCACACGGACACGAAGTTATGCGGTCATAATACAGTGTTAGGAGTCACACCATGCCCGGTAGTTGTGCAACACTGTACACACTAAAATGACAACGCCCAAGAATGGATCTTTTTTTTCAAGTTGAGAGCCTGTAACCACATATAATCCAACCCTCGTGAGGCATAATCCATAATTTTAGTGAATGCCATGCTAAACAACGTGCACATTGCAAGAGTAGAGGCCCTTGAGGTGGGAATGTAGACATTGCCAAGAATTCAAATCATGTTGTAAATCAATGCATGAGGATGAAGACCGGGTCGATATTTTGAAAACGTGACACATTTTTTACTGATTGGCCATGTCGGGTGGTGGAGGGTTACGACACATTTATAAATAACGCGATCTGACCCAAAAACCTATATTATGAATAATATTGGTCGCGAAAGCCGACGTGTTACATTTTTACCTATATTGACGATTAAATCACCAAACTTCGTAATACGTGTGATGAACTTCTTTCACACCATACGTAGCCAACCGTGCTAATCGGAGGTGCGCGGGGGGGGGAAGTATAATAAACTAAACACAAAAACGCAGTTCTAAAGAAATGAGTGTTCAATCGAGGTTTCAAAGTGCATAGCTCCAGTGACTTCCTGATATCGTAAGGAAGAGTTTTTCCAGACGGACGCGGAAGCGCATCTAAAAGCGCGCGATGCAGTGACCGTCTTTGTTCGATGGCCTAGCCAAAAGCCGATGACCGGATTTCGCGTGATGGCTTATGCTCCTTGACAACATCAGCAAGGTATTGCAGGTTTATTTGTGGCAAGCGGTTAGTGTGTAATGAGTGCGACCTTTTAATGCGTATGTTAAGCAATCGAAAGCCAATGCAGCTCAGCGTTACCATCAGAAATTAAATTACCACCATCGATGCTATAATCGCCACGACTGCTACTATTGCCATGGCATCTGTCAAAACATGCAATAATCACTATACCCAATAACCACAATACTATCAACACCACAACCATTAATACTATCAACATCACGATCACAATAATCACAAGTTCACCACCGCAGCCATGAATATGAACACATCACAACTGCCATCACTTTCAAATTTGAATTCTCATCACTACCATGAACATCAACACAATGATTACCACCACCACCCCTACCAACACCATCAACAAACACAATTACAATAACTACCAAACATCCATCATCATCTTCATGCCTAACTCCATTGTCACCAATGACTAACCACACGACCACCACAAACAACAAAGCCATCAATAACAACACCATTACAATCACAAACAACCACCAAGACCATCAGCAGCAGCAGCAGCAATATTAACATCAATACCAGAACAATCCTACAACATCCACCAACCATAACACCACGACCAACACTGTTATCATCATCATCTATGCCTCCACTAACTAACCACATCGATATCAATAAGACCACCATAACAAGCACAACCATCCACCAACATCACCACCACCACGCACCGTAGGCCGACGCCACTGCACTCCACGTGTCTTGGACGAGCCGGGTCCCAGCTCCTTGAAGCCGAGGGAGCTGGCCGTGGCGGGGAAGCGGTCGTCCTCAAAGAGGGTGCCGTTCTGCAGGCACCAGCCCCGGATCTTCTCGAAGTCCTGGCCCAGGTGTTTGCTGGACCTCTCGCTCGTGGTGCCTACGCCTTCCGCCTTGTCCAGCTGCCTCTGCAGCCGCGCTGTGATGCCGTACACCATGGTGTCTCCCTCTGAAATTGACCGAAGGCATTCGTCGCGGTCGTTACCATCGGAGGCCGTGCTCAATCCGGCGCTGGATCGAAGCCACCACCGCCGCCGTCCCTCGGCATCCTGAAATGCAAATAACACTTTATACCGAGCAACGGCACGCCACCGGTTTATTTCATCGCTTTCGTCTCCTCGGTGGACTTCGAATCCGACGCACTCCATTCCTCGGCTGACATTCCGTAGTTATTCTTGACCTGCATCCATCATCCGCCATCCCTTTCCAGCCACGTGCATGCCCTGCCCCAAGCCCACTCACTTTAATATTCAGGTTGGATGATGTCATGAACGTGAGTGAGTTCTCTAATCCATGCGTCTGTCCCTCTTTCTATCTCTCAGTGTTTTATTACGACCATGGATGGATCCGTGTTGGCAGAAGGTGTTGTCTTATACAAACGGGTAGCGATTGGAGTGTAGGAGTGGTGGTGTGGTGGTTAGCGCGTTTTTAGAAGATCAATCAGCATCCTGGGTTTGATTCCCGTCCACGGGTTGAAATTTAAGTGACATAACCTGACCTCTAAATCGTTATCTGTTACATAACCTCGCCCCACGGCCCTGAACCAACTCGCGTTGAATCAGAATACAGAATGTATTTATACCGGAGAAATCCGATGAGCTATAAAGATCTTTTTCACACGTACGTACCAGTAGGTGGGATTCAAAACGTTACAAGAAAACAAAAACACGATAGGAGTACACACTATTGGAAAGGTAAACAAATCACTTTCAAATATATACATGAAATACAACTACAAAACTATATTTTGTTATCTTCCCAGGTAAAGCCCACCGAACTATTAGCTTCTATTTCAGAAGCGACCTGGCCACAAATGATCGCTCAACAAAGTGGCTTATCACGTGGACATTTACAGCAGCAAAGTCTCACACGACCCATAAAGACATGGGGGGGAGGTTCTTCATCATCATCATCATCTAGCAGTGGATTGACAGCGATTACATAACGGGTCACGGAATAACACGGACCAGGCCAGCTAAGCGTGTTTTTAGTGTAGCCATCCTGATACGTACACATAAGAACATTTAGAAACGGGTATGAGACTCTAAGAGATACACTCATTTTACACGCAGACATTTGTTACAATGGTCTCCATCCTCCGCACTTCTGTAAAAAGTGTTTCCTTTTAACGAATGAAGCCACTCACGGTTGGCTCGACTTTACCATGAATTGTAACGCTTAAAAAAGAAATAACACGATGGAATGTACGACTAATTTTTTTTTTTACACGCTGCATTGTATTCATTAATCGCAAACATGTGCCAACAACACACGCCCGACTTAGTTTTTTTTACTCACAGTTTCAGACTCTCTGTGATGCTCTCAACAACCGACGCGTCTCTCTGCTCTCTCTCTGTCCGCTGTCTGTCGACTCGGCAACTTGTCAAGAGTGAAGCAGCATCAGCTGGGAAGAGACGCGCGTGATGTTAGTAGCAGCAGCAGCAGCGTCTGCTTAGAGAGATCAGCATGAGCAAACAGCAGCAGCAGCAGCTGATGCTTGCTTGCTTGTACTCGTCGTTTTTGTTGTTGTGCTGCTGCTGCTGCTGTTTCAATTATTTTTTGTTAACGCTGTTCCTTGCCCCCCAAAAACTGCTCTTTCAACTTGGCACAGACGTTGAACGTCGTTCGTTGCTGCTGCTGTTGTTGTTTCTACTGCTGCCCGATTCTGATGCTGCTGCGGAACAGCAGGAGATGATCTGCTGCTGCTGATGTAGCCACTGATTCTGCTGCTGATGTGTGTTGTAGCCACTGATGCTGCTGCTGATGTGTGATGTGGCCACTGATGCTGCTGCTGCTACTGCTGCTGATGTGTGTTGTAGCCACTGCTGCTGATGTGTGTTGTAGCCACTGCTACTGCTGCTCTCACTGCAGAGTAGAGGTCTCTGCTGCAATACGACGTGGCTTGCGTCACCGCAGGAACCCGCCCTTTCCTCCGCGAATATCTCCTCCCGTCCACCCCCCTTGCCTCCCCCGCTCCCACTGACTTCCTCATCAGCGTGCCACGTTCAAGCGTTGCCAGATCTGGGGGACATAGAAACCTTCAGATGTGTGTGCGTGTGTGTTGGCAAGAGCGTGTTTAATAAACGACAACTGCAGTCAGTGTTGCCAACTTCTGTAAAGTGGGACGTGGCTGAACGAAGTTCTCCATAATAAAAACATTTCTATTCTGCTCGAAATGCCACGGCCGATTAAAAAGGAGTTGAAAGAGAGAAAAATAAACAAATGAGAATAGGGTTTACCATTTCTGGCAATAAAACAGTTGTGTTAAGATGTTAAAACACCAAACTGAAACCCTTTTTCAAGGAATCCTGTCTGCATTAACCACATATTCTTGTGGTGAACATGCAAGCCAAAGAACACATGCTCTGGTAGTATATGCATTGTCTTTGGAACTGGTCCACACCAGAGACAGCTTTGTTTAGGGCCTAGGGGGCGTCCATAAATGACGTCACGCGATTTTGGACGATTTTGGACCCCCCCTCCCCCCCCTGGTCACACGGCGTCACAAAAAGTCAGACCCTCCTCAAATATGACGTCACAAAGCTCTGCCCCCCTCCCCAAAAAATAAAACATGCTTCAAATCGATTTAGACTATTGTCATTGTAGTGCGTATTTAATGTGGCGCTGCACTCTGATGTTGTAGGAGAAAACGTGTATTAAAAAGTCTACTTAATTAAGTAGAACGTGTTGTCTATATGTATTTAAAGTTTCGCATTTTGATGTGACGTCACATTTCTCAACCCCCCCCCCGTCACACATCGTCACAAATGTCTGACCCCCCCCCCCCTAGGTGCGTGACGTCATTTATGGACGGCCCTCTAGTCTCAAAGAGTGTTACACCAGAGAACAGAGAACTCCAAAGGGCGAACAGCACATCGGCAATGCCACTATCAGGGCATTTATATCTCGGGGTGAGCAGCTACAATATTGGACCTTTCTTGACAGTATCAATAAATTAGTATAGGTTTTACCCTTTCATTGCGTTAAGATGTTAAAACACCAAACAGAAACCTTTTTCACGGAATTCTGTCTTCATTAACCATATATACTTGTGGTGAACATGCAAAAAAAAACATTGTCTGGTAATATATGTATTGTCTTTTAAACTAATTATAGAAGAAAAAACACAGCCGTTGTTCGTGATGCAAAAGCCATCAGCGGTTGCTGAAGAAAGTGACTGACTGACAGCGGTCAAAGATAGACAACTGTGGAACCGATTTAATCTCTCTTTTTTCGTTTAGGCCTCATCAGCAAAGTATAATTACCAAGTCTCACTGCTGCAAAGTCTGCCACTGGACTATGAGAACCAAATTTTAACCCCCCCCCCCCCCAACTTCAGTACTTACGTCTTATGATGCGAATTAACTTGGTTAATGCCACCCAACACTGCAATCACAAATGTAAATAACGAGAAAACCCTATAATGGAAAAATTAGATTCTTATTTCCGGCCTGCACTATGCAAACTGATGGTTGTCCGGCCAGCACAATTGTTTTTCTGTTATGATGGGGTTTTATTTCTCTCTCATATCCATTTACAAATACGATTAATGCCACGGCCGCCGCACTGCAGGGCCACATCGCCTGCGGGGAGGCGAGTGGGGCTGCGGGGTGGGCATAGACGGGAAGGGGGGCTTCTTCAGCCTCCAACGTGAGAGGTCCCTGACGGCGGATGGAGGTGGGGGGTGGAGAGGTAGAAGACGTTTACACCATTGGAACCTCATATGCCAGTAAAAAAATATGATAATTGTTTTTTTACCCTTTTATCTGGCAACAAAACTGACACCTTTTTTTTTACAAGGAGTCATGTTTGCATAGACCACAATACCTGCAGCCATAATGCAAACAAAAAACATAACTCTGATAATATATGCACTCAAAGACAATGCACAATTAGAGTATGAGAGCTCTCATACTCTGATGGTGCATTGTCTTTGAGTTGTGCGCCTTTTGGCGTCATCTGGTCCAACACCATGTGAGACTAGGCTCTAAGGAAAGCTGTCTCGGGTGTGGACCAATCAACTTCAAGGACAGTGCATACATTATCAGAGTTATGTTTTTTGTTTGCATTCCGACTGCAGGTATTGTGGTTTATGCAAACATGACTCCTTGTAAAAAAAAAGGTGTCAGTTTTGTTGCCAGATAAAAGGGTAAAAAAACAATTATCAGGTAGAAGACGGCCGACGGCTAATTTCGGGCAAATAAGCTGGTGCGTGAAGCCACTCACGGGCAAAACAACAATAAAACCCTTCTTCTTGTTTCTTTCGGTAAAGTCACGTAGAAGGGAAGTAATAAAATAATAAAAATAAAACATAATAAAACAATTCTCACGACGTTTCTTCTTGGTTCTTTCGGTAAAGTCACGTAGAATGGAAATAATAAAATAATAAAAATAAACATAATAAAATAATTCTCACGACGTCCTCAGGTGGAGAACAGGTCTGTCTATTATTTACATTCTACGTGACTTTACCGACAGAACCAAGAAGATGAATCCCTGCAGTCACGAAAGCTTTAAATCGAAACAATAAAACCCCTCAAAAATCTAATGATGGCGACGAGAGGGTGAGGTTTATTAATAGCGATGCGTTACGGTACCGTACGTACTGAAAGGCGAGTAAATTATAGATGAAGATGAATCCACAGTGGCTCACAACTTACCATTCAGGAATGCGCATTCCCAGACTGTTATGTAAGAGATGCATAGGCGGAGTTTGATTTCTACATTTGGTGTGGGGGAGGGCGTTCGCTTTGTCCCTTACATTAGGAATCGCGGGAGCATATAATGAATGTATTCTAGATTTGAAGCTTTCGTGACTGCAATGATTCATATTTTTAGGTTTTTTCGGTAAAGTCACGTAGGTAAAAACATTAAAAAGTAAAATAAAATAAAAATCACGACGTTTCGGAGGCAACACAAGCTTCCGTCTTCAGGTGGTACCGTCACAGCCACGACAGCTGTATCAAGTAAATGAGAGATTGCAGGAGCTACCACTCCGTGTATATAATGGTTGGCCCTTGCCCCACCACCATCTCCAAATTTAGCATTCTCAGGAAGAACGTAATCAACCAGGTAAGGTGTTGACTTATATTATCCGACTCTCTGTTGTATCACATTACATTTCTAAGTATACTAGATTTGTATTTCTATTTCATGTATACCTGATGATGATTGCTTGTGTTGCAATCGAAACGTCGTATGCTAGTATTTTATTTATTACTTTCTCTTTATACGTGACTTTACCGAAAGAACCAAAGAGTAATTCCTGCAGTCACGAAAGCTCCAAATTAAGTACTGAAATTAAATTAATAAAAGTGCCCAGTTTGGGGGGGGGGGGCATTGCCCTCCGTGCCCCCCCCCCCAAAAAAAACTCTGCCCATGAAGAGATGCAATGCTCCAAGGCCATGAATGGTGGACGCGCGTTCCCCGAATGCGCAATGCCTAGACAATTATTGCCGGCGCGTCTTTGTGAACTTTTTCTATTTTCTTTCCCTCTTCTTCGTCGCCGTTCACGCTTTTGATGCACGTCACGAGGCCTAATGCCCGCTGATTTAAAACGCCCCTTTTCAGGCACGTCACTGCTGTATTTCGTTTGTTGTTGTCATCAAAGTCTGCTTTATATCATCAAAGTTTGCTGGACCGCGGCGGGCTGACACAAAGAAAGTTCAGCTCTTTCGCAGTATCGCGCCGTGTGCCGATAGCGCCCCGGTGTGGATTTTGTAAATATGTAAAATGTTCTAAAGTGGTTTAAGTATGTTGTGGATTTGCTCTCCAACACACCGGTGTTGCTGTACTTGGTAACGAATTGGCATGTTTCTGTTTACGTGACAAACCTTACTAATTGGCTATTCTTCTTGGGTCATTCGGTAAAGTTACGTAGAAGGGAAATAAAAAAATAAAAAAATTCTGTTTTATTTTTATTCTTTTATTATTTCCCTTCGACGTGACTTTACCGAAAGAATCAAGAAGATGAATCCCTGCAGTCACGAAAGCTTTAAATCGAAATTAAATAGGCTATTGTCGGGTGGTGGCGGGTTTAATGACACATTTATATTTACTTGATGTAACCGAAAAAAGCCAAAAATACCTGTATTTTATGGATATTAGTCGCGATTTCCTACGTGTTAAACTGGTTTAAGTTAACCAGTTTAACACGTAGGCTTTCGCAACCAATATCCATAATACACATTTTTTTGTTAGATCGCGCAAAGAGGCGATCCTAACCCAAACTACCTGTATTATGTTATTTATTTTCGAGTACAGTAGTAATCTCGAAAGCCTCAGCCCCACTCCACAGCATCTTCTTCGTGTGAGGAATCGCGGCGCGTGTCGCTTTGATGCCTCTTTCGCATTTGTAAATCAGGCATTGAGTCCGTTAGATGTTCCAGAGTACTCGACAGCATAATGCACATCGATGGGATCCCCCTTTTTGCCGGTATCAAGATGATGAAAAGTAAATGGCTTTTCCCTTGCCCGGCAAAAATTATGTATTACTGCATGTTGAACTTCTTTCGCACCGTACGTCGCCAACCGTGCTAATCGGAGGTACGGGCGAAAGACAATAAACTAAAAACAAAAAAGCTGTTCTAAAGAAATGAGATTTTAAAGTGTATAGCTCTGCTGGCTTCCTAATTTTGGAAGGAAGAGCGTTCCAGACGGCCGCAGAAACGCATCTGAAACCGTGCGATGCGGTGACCGCCTTTGTTCGATGGTTAGCCAAAAGGCGCTGCTGCTGCTGCGAGGATGAAAGGAGATCACGTGGTGACGGTTTATGCTCCTTGGCAAGATCAGCAAGGTGGTTCATTTGTGGCAAGCGCAAGTCGTCAGCATTCTTTGCGATAGGTAATATATTTGGCGCAAGAGCGCAGAAGCGTGGTCAACACAT